GATAGTAAAATATACATAACATATACAATGTGCCGCTTTGAAGCATACCATTATGGCCGTCTTAACCCTTGCCACTGTCTGCTTCCAAAAGGTTCTCCATGCCCCAAACAGAAACTCTTTACCCCTTCACCAATAAGTAACACACACACACCCATCACCTTTCCCACCAGCCCCTAATGGCCTTTGTTCAACTTTGTGCCTCCGTGCATTTGCCTGTTAAAGACACTCCCTGTAGTCACACACTGTCTGTCCTTTTGTGGCTGACATTCATTCAGCATGTTTGCAAGGCCATCCTCGTATTCGATATATTAGAACTGCATATCTCATTACGGCTGGTTAATACATGTTCAAGGGCCATCTAAAAAAAGTTCGTGGAAAAATGGAATTAAAAGATAATGGAATTTTTCCACCAGCTTTCTGAAGCCCCTTCACATCACCGCCTTTTGTGTGTCCACTCATTTGCGTTGTTTCGGCCTCTCAGCCCAGCGTTGAGCAGCAGTGATGAACATCATGCAAGTGCCTCTGAGCACCTGCTCTCAGGTCTTTCAGGTGTTTGCTTAGGAATAGAATTGTTGGGTCCTACATTAATTCTGGTTAACTTTTTGGGGAACCCTGGTGGCATAGTGGTTGTAAGTTGGGCTGTTAACTACAAGGTCAGCAGTTTGAACCCACCATGCTACTCAGAAGAAAAACGGGGCTTTCTACTCCCCTCCAGAGTTACAATCTCGGAAACTCGGGAGCAGTTCTGTCCTGTCCTGTAGCGTTGCTCTGCGTGGGCAGTGAGATTGAGCCATGAGGAAACAGCACTCCACACGGAATAAGGAGCAGACCCAATAAGGAGTTGTGTATGCCAGCTCGCGTAGTCCACAGGAATTCTTTAAATGCCAAAGGGGCTTTTAGGGCACTATTAGGCATCTTCAGATTTAACAGCCTCTCTCATGGTGCCTCCTACCAAACCAGCTCGACAAACTCATTGCCATCCCGCCCACTTTGATACACAGCGACCCTATAGGACTGAGCAGAACTGTGCCCCCATAGGGTTTCCGAGGCTGTACATCCTCATGGAAGCAGACAGCCTCGTTTTTCTCCCACAGAGCGCCTGGCGACTTTGAACCAACAGTCTTTTCGATAGCAGCCAAGCGTGTAAGCACTGCACTGCTAGGGCTCCTTGGTACTTCCGACACCCCCTTGTAATTAATTATCCATTTGCTTCTCCATCTCTCCTCTACAATCTTTATGGCTCTATCACATGAGTCTAACGTAGCCAGGCACAAAGCTACTTCTTGCGTCAACCTGGGGAATTCTTGGTGGAGACCGAGGAGCATAGGCCCAACATGGCATGGTCCGGAGTTCCTGGGGAGCGCCAGCAGCGCAGCGCGTGACTACTGTCTGAAAGGGGGCCCTCTGAACCCACCCAGAGGTACCTCAGAAGACAGACAGACACCCCCGCCTGCCACTGCCTGGGAAGCCCCCAGGAGCACCGTTCTACTCTGACGTACATGAAGTCGCCAGGCATGGATTCAGCTTGGGAGCAGCTCATGTTGTTAGTGTGGGTATTTGTGTGTGTGCGGCTGATTTGTTCAAGTATGGCAGGACACATTGCCTATCGGGATGCCACTTCTGTGGTGTGTTTCTGGATTTCCCGTAATGAATGACTTCTGGATTTGGAGAGTCCTATTTCCTTTGTTTGTT